CCTGAGTAGCCAGTTCCCTGGTTGGAACAAGAACCAGTACCTGCAGGGAGTGAAAAAGAGACAAAAATGCAGCTGTGCTTGGGAGAGGGTGTAGGATGAAAAAGGGGTTTACTTCACATCAAACAGCTTGTACACTCATTTTTATTCTACTCTTGCTGAAGAGGTGCCCACAGCTTCCCACCATCCCAACAACATTCCCTGCATCCTGGAGCCTGCCAAGAGAGCCTCAGAGGCAACAAGAGGAAACAAGGCAAAGCAAACTGAGATGTAGGACAGCAATACTTTTTTTTCTTAAGTTAAAGCCAGATAAGACACTTCAGTGACATTATCAAGGCCAATGAAGGTACAGCTCACCATTAAGAGGTAAGAACAGTAAATAAATCTGAACTAGTAAGATTTCAACAGATACACAGCATGATGCACTCTAGACATGTATCTGCTCTCTCCACCCACCTGCCTTCCTCAGATATCTACCCTTCCCCCCAACGTTTTAAGAAAGAACTGACAAAGTGAGGAATTTACCTCTTTAAATCCTTCAGAAAATAAGAATTCAACATTTACATTGCCTTTAAAGTTAATAAAACAGAAGGATGAAGCAGGTGACAAGTCTGCACACTATTAACAGTTCTTCAGTCTAATGCTACACTGCATTTGCACGGAATAGGACACCTGATCACTGGCACCTGGTTACCAATTCCATCTCTGTTATTGCATCTGGGGGGGAAAACCCCGAAAGCCTTCAGCTATCACTATGGAATTTACAGTGAGAAACAACGTCAGTGAACTGAGGCAAAAATCCCCAAAGCAACAGTAAAACTGCTTTCAAAGCTTGCAGCCTGCCATGCTCTCAGGTTCTGGTGGGAAGTTACTTTGGGTGCACGGCCTCTTCTGCCATCCTGGGGGACACTCTGCAGTTTCTCAATCAGCGGAAGAGCAAAGGAAAGGGTTTTCCCGGTTCCCGTTCGAGCTTGAGCAATGACGTCTTTGCCATCATATATGGGCTGGAAGGTCTTCACTTGCACAGGGAACAGGTATTTTACACCTCGAGCTGCAAGATAATTGAAAGAGGCTTCATTAAAAGCTGAACAAACAATCAGAAGCCCTCACAAACAGCCCAGATGTGTAGGGCACATCGTGTCAAATCCTGTACACAGCAGGAGATGCAACTTAGAAGAAAACCACGTATCTTTATATTTTATTCCTACTCCAGATCAAAAGGTATTCCACCCCCAAACGCAGTGCTGAGTATCCACAATGAAATACAGCCTTCTTTGGAATGTGTGGTGTAAGACAATAGGACAGAAAGGAAAAAAACCCAACATGTCTTGTCTGATACAGCCCAAGATTTTGTGGTAGCTCCCTTTTCAAGGAGGGGAGTAGCTATGATGAGTGTTTGTTCCAAAACATTCCAAAACTCCAGAGAGATTTTGCACAGTGGAAGTGAAACAATCCATCCAGGAGAAACTTTTGAGCAAGGAAAACTTAAAGGAACATGGAGAATTTTTGTCTGAGGAACAAGAATTGCAAAGCTTCCCAACACAGAGGACAAGAACCCTATAGCAATCACAAAATTAACTGAGAAGAGAGATGAAAGTATGAGAACAATCAGCAACAATCCGTTCACAGAAGGCAAATAGTCTTTGTACACAAAACTGCATTAAGCTTATTTAAGAAGCAATATTGTAGAGAGCAGACACAGAAACAGAAGTAAAGATGCACAATAAGTGGAATGATGCTGACAAGAAGAGAAACCCTAAATGTCTCTAAAATGTAGATTGAGGAATACTCACTCCATTGAATAAGAAACTCACCTTAGGGCACTTGAAAATGAACAAAACAGAAACTTTTTGCCTACTAAGAACAGTAGATTTTTCAGTCTACAGTGACTGTTCATATGCATATTTTTACCACACAATAAATTTAAGATGATTTAGAACAATCTACTCTTGGGCTTCTGCTTATGCAGGTAACAGTTCAGTTCTGAAAAAACATTTACAGAAATGTCTTTTGCCACGTTAACTAACCTGTGAGAAGGTTAATAGTGTTTTGGGAGAGAGGGAAATTAGAGAAGGCGCCTTCCTTTGCTTCTTCTGTCAGCTCCTAACAGGATTAAAAAAGAAAAAAAATCTCTTAACCCTCAGAGATCAGCACAAAACATTCCCAACATAGGTACTCAAGAAAAGCAATATACTGCCTTTACCACCACAATTTCACCATCTACCTCCTTTCTGTTTAAAGAAAACCCTTTAGATATATGTGTATAAATGGAAACTATTTGTTATATGTCTTAACTTAGAGTCCACTGGAACCATTACAAAACTGTTTTTCACAACAAAACATACTTGGTGTCACAATTCAGTGTGCAAATCAGGAACTTTTAGAAGACACCTTGTCAGTACAACATGCAAACAGCTTTGAACTTCAAAGACCAGTAAATACTTAAAATTCACTCTTTTGCTTCAAAGATTCATTGCTACACCCAATGTACATAAAGCACAAAATCTCTTGATTCTCGTTCCCACCTTAAACACAAAACTACCCACAGAAAGCCCTTCACAGCGCAAGGCAAGCTGCAGGTCCCCCCTGCACGCATCTGAGAGGCTACACATGAAATCTGAAGAGGGAGAACTCCAGAAACGGGAATTAACAAGGATAACCTTGCCTTCCCCTTACGGGACACGTCGCCAAATACTTCAGAGGTCCTACCAGCAAAGAAAGCGCCATCGCAGCACCAAGCACGTTTCTGAGCGCAGGACACAGAAGAAGCTCCGACACGAAGGGGAGGAGCAGGTGGGAACTGCTCGCTGATACCCAGCCTCCTGCACTGCAGGACACGCTGCTCCAAACGCTCGGCATCCACCGCGAGGGGGAAAGCACGTGGAGAGCCAGTTCCCACGTGCAGGGGCATGTGCTGCCGAGCCTCACCCAGCCCCGCAGCCCGGGCGGGAACACGCAGGATGCTGGGCAGGATGAAAGGCACTCCGGGCGTGTGGGACAGCGGAGAGAGCTGCCTAGGACAGCTGCCTCACGCTCCCGCAGCCCTCGCACCTCAAGTTTCAGCAGAGCGCCCAGTACATGCTATTAAGCCACTAACTACCAGCAGGACGTTAATTAACCAAGACCAGGGCTCTGCTGGCAGAGCATCCCTACCTCGGCGTCGCTGTCCTGCTCTCCATCGGCCCCGCTCTGGGCAGCCGGGGCTGTCCCGCTGTCGCTCGCAGCAGCAGAAGATTCCAGCGCGTGCTGGGCGACGTCGCTCTCTCCCACCAAACCGCTGCTCTTCTCCTTGATTTTCTTCGTCTTCTTGGGCACGGGCGGCTCGAGGTCGCCATCCCCCAGCCCGCTCTCCTCGGGCTGCGCCAGCTCGCCCTCGGCCTTACCGCGCCGCTTCGCCTTCCCCTCCGTGCCTTCCTCCTGCCGCGGGAAAGCCGCCGTCACCCGGAGGATTCCGCTCCCCGCGGTCCCGCCCGCCCCGAGCCGACACCGCGTCCCCCCCGAGCCCGCACAAAATGGCCGCCCCCGCGGCCGCACGTGGCGCTCCCACCTTGGCCTTCCTGCGGCGGCCGCGGCGCGGTGGCTCGGCGGCGGCGGGGGCCTGCGGCTCGGCGGGGCTGTGCTCGGGCTCGGCGGCGGGCATGGCTGGCGGCTGCTCCCCGGGCAGGTGCGCGGCGGCCGCGCCGCTCCCGCTGCCACTCTCGGCTCGGCGGCCCCAGGACGCGCGCCCCGCCCCGGCGCGCAGGAAGTGAGGAGGGCGGGCCGGGCCGCGGGGCAGCGCGGCCGCCAGCAGCACCAGCGGAGCCGCCCCGACACCGCACAGCCAGCGGGGCCGCCCAGCAACGCTGCCCGCCGGGGCCGCCGGGAGCCCCAAGCGCGCTGCCGGGAGCCCCAGCCGCGCCGCCCGGCCCAACACGGCCCCCATGCAGCCACCGCCCCGCCCCGAACCGCCCCTTCCGCCGCGCCGGCCCCTTCCGCACGCCCAGCCCACCACGGCGCCCTCACGGGGCTCCCTCACGGATCTCGAGTCACGGGACACCCTCACGGACCTCCGCTCACAGTACACCCTCATGGGACCTCCCTCACGGGTCTCCCCTCACCGTGCCCGCCCATGGAGTTCCCCTCGCGTTGCTCCGCTGGTTGCCACAAAATCGCGTTCTTTCCCGGTGTGCCGCAAGCCGGTACTGACACACACTGATTCTGTTTCAGAGCTGCCCAAGCCCGGGTGCTCCGTGGCATATTGCACAAGTCGAGAACAACCACCGGGCTTTCCGCACCATTATTAATACACAGAAATTCAGAGTCAGTAACTTTACAAGTACTGCCTCTCTCTATAAGAAGTGGTTAGTAATTTCCACACCAGTAACGTAGTACCGGCCAACTTCTCCACATGCTCAGGGGAAGGTTCTTTAACTGGGCAGTGTCTTTTTGTCCTGTGGGCATGAATTTTAGTATTATAATGAACATAATTCAGCTATAGGGTACATGGACCTTGAGTATTCTGCCAAGTTAAGCAATGTACACATAGACATTCATCAACATTTTCATCTACAGCATCCCTAAAGCTTGTTAGTTCCAGGATGTCCTTGAATAAGGGATGCTAACTATCTGTTCCACTGATTACATCTCCTTTTTTTGCTGGATGTACAAAGACACCACATCAAAGAATGTCCTAATTTTAGACAATCTTGCCATATTCCACTGCATTCCGTTTTGCAACAACCGCACAGGGACATCTCATGGATCTCTCTTACAGGGCTAGCCTCACAAGGTTCCCCCTCACACTCTGGAATCTGTCTTTCCTGTCCACAGTTGTGTAAGCAGTCACAATTTGGGACAGAAACTAAAAAAAAATTAATTTTAGGTAAAGAGCTTCATTCTGATTCCACAAAAGAAAAAAAAAAATTTGGACTCATCTTCAAGGGGCTCTTGCTGCCATGCTGCCAAATCCAGCACCTACCTGCATCTCTGTCTGCTAAACAACCCTTCAAATATGAAACAGAATATGAAGTTGTAAAATAATATTTAATTTTATCAGAAAATGTACAGGTTTGAGCAGCAATTAAGATCTATATATTATACAGTGAACCAGGCTACAGTTTTGAACGCAATAGACATATTCTGGAAAAATTCAAATAGCAATATGAGAAACGGTATGAGAAACAAAGGAAACTTTTTTTTTTTTCTTGTGGGTTTTTTGTGGGATTTTTGGTTTGGGGTTCTTTTTTTAAATGAACAGAATCTTATTTATGAACAAAGTAGTACTGACAAAAAAAAGTATTTTAATGAAATATTTTCCCCGATGGTACAAACACACAGAAACAGCCTAGTATAATATAATATATAAAATACTTTAGTCCTGTTTTTTTTTCTGGATTGTTGAAGAAGTTAATGTTCAAATGCTCTGCTGAAGCTTCGTTTCTGGCCTCTGCCCCTGAATCTGTTTCTACCCGAGCCACCACGCCGCCCATTCCTGGAGCTTGAGAAGCTTCGGCCGTTTCCTCCTCCCCCACCTCCTCCTCCTCCTCCTCCTCCTCCTCCTCCTCGCAAGGATTCCACCAACTCAGGTAATTCAGTTGCCACGCACAAACGCCAGTGTTTGGAATCTTCCCATTTTTCCTATCAAAATAAAGTCAGACATAGCAAGTTAAATTCTAGGAATGCCAGCACAAGGTATGTAGTAATTGTTGGGTTTCCTCAACTGTAAAGGTAAAATTCCAAGCCAATATAGGGGATTCAAGCTTCTTTCTAACTGAAGTGGCCAATACTTGGTTCCAAAATTTTAATCTTTCAATTGTTAAGAACACCACTATAATTACTACTGATTACAAATCCACAGCTTCCCCTCAGTTCCCCTCTAATCCAGAGCCAAACATTGCTTTAGGAGTGAATGAATACTAGGCCATGAGGGTCTAGAAATGCACTAACAGAGAAACACCTGAAGCAAAGATAGGAAAGGAAGTCTAGGGAGTTTCGGCGTGGGAATACTAATTCTGCCAAGCAAAAACCTGGAATTCACTTTTCTGCAGAAAGAATTCTGGGTAGAAATGCAGGGAGGGAACAGAAAAAAAAGGGAGCAAAGCTTGCTGCTACTGAATCTAGTAGCAGTGACAAGGGGTGGAGTTTTCACACCACCTCTTTAATCAGTGCAGAAGTTTCAAGCCACAGGGGAATGCCTTAAAAAAGTAATTTAGGAACAAAACCACTGTATGCTTGCTCTGTTCTTCAATTCCTTCAAGTCATCCCTTCTGCCACTAAAAAAGGCAGGACACAGGTTACATTACGTTTTCTGTCTAACTCAGTCCACCCAGTCTCATCTACAGTCTACTGTACCCAGAAATTGCAATGAATGTACCTCTATTTCTTTTCGGTCTGCTGCAGGAACGTCGAAGCACACACCCTAAAAAGAAAGAATAATTTTAATGGATACAAGTCAAGCCCTTTAAAATGACTGCAACTAAAAACCATAGAGCCTACGAATCTACACCTGACAGCCAGGCACTATCAGAACTGGCTGTCCTAAGAAGTCCTGTTCTGCTTTGTCATTTAGTTAGCACACACCTCATACCTTTTACCTGTCCTGCTCCCACCATGCATTATCCTACCTCCTTAGCATGGCAGCACCCCAGGTCCTAATAAAACAGAGGCCCAACACTGCCTGGAACATGGAAAAACAGCAAATACCTCCCCTGACCATTGCTGAGAAAGGCCTGCAACCAGCAGAGCCCAGTATCAGAGACACAAACCAAAAACTTACCATTTTTCCCTTGAGGAAACACATTCTGTTCACCTTCCGATCGACATCGTCACCCAGCACTTCTCGCAGCCTTCGCCAGGCGTAGCTCATGTTGTTTATTTCTTCGGAGCAGCGTAGGATCATTGTAACGAAGCCCTGAAAAGAAACGGGGCATGTTCCATTCCGTCAGAGGAATCAGCTTCAGCACAACTATCACACATCAGGGACTGAGGATTCAGATTTATTACAGTTACAGGGATGTATGTCTACAGCCGCTATATTGTTGCGTTAACAAAATCAGTAGTTCCCAGTGGCTCAAGCCGAGCGCTCAAACAAAATCTGGGGAGGCCATAATTCTCTCTTTAGGCAACACAGAGGTGTGTTGTTTTCCTCCAAGTCCAAGGCAGACATTAAGCCATGCGCCCTTCCTTACCGCATCTGAGTTCAGCAGCGAGCGCTGCTCGATGGAAGTAGCCCCTGAAATATGGGCCAGAGCTGCAGCCAGAGCATTAACTGGTCCCTTTTCTTTTATCAGCAACTGAGCAGATTCTCTGAAATACTCAATAGCTGTCTGAGGAACGGAATCCAGGCACCTAAGTAATTAAAGCAGAAAAAAAAATATAAAACTTATATGCTAATATTTACTGAGATCTGGAAGAGAAGAAAAACAGTGGCCCAAGACTTTAAAAGTGATCAGAAAGTTCAGAGAGACAGCAAAGAGCAACCTAAACAGCCCTTCTGAATGAGGAAGGCAGAAAGATACAGCAGGACTCGGGTTCCCAAACACACCTCATGGCGTCTTTGCTGGAAGCCTTTATTATGTCTGTTGCAGTAGGAACACCAACGCGCTTGAACGAAATGCCCTGAAATTTAAAAGGCAAAAAACCACAAATTAAAATTGCAGTAAGTCAGTTCTAAAGAAGCAGTATTGAACTCCAACAAAACAAGCATTCAAGTCTATCATTTTTCTTCTTATTTTCACCTTTTAACTCCCAGTTTTTTCTAGTGAAAACTGTAAGGTTAAGCTTACAGGTAAATGGGTAACACTTAAAAAGGCTTTTATGTACCAGGTCAGTTTAAATGACTCAGTGACCTTAAATTGAAATAAACAGAGACCATTTTGGCAGTCCTGGGGAAAATAAAAGTCTCCTACAAATTCTAAATTATTACTTTTAGTCTGATTGATTTGGATTCAATACAAGTTACAGAGTTTTAGTCTAAATGTGAGTCTGAGTTTAAAGTCCCAACAATAAACAATCTCATAACAACTGAAGACTTAACTGGCAAGAGAATGTCCATATGGAATAGTGCACAAAGTGCAAAAACGCAAGTAACACATCCCAGTAAAGCTGCACATATGCACATCACTGATCAGATCACAGCCAGGGTGAACACTACACTGTCAGTCCTGTGAGCTTTTTCTCACTTCCACAGGGACAACCTCCCTGGCATTTGCAGAAAAAGTGTGGGCATGAGAATGTGCAGAGCTCTCCCTGCTCCACCGAGCTGACACTGCACCCGCACTCCCCAAGGTACCCCAACCTCCACCGGGCGCCTCCGCAGCTGCAATTGTGACTGAGCTATTGCACAAAACATTACACTTGAACACGCCACCCTTCAAACATCAGTGCCGTCAGACAGAAGGAAACTGTACCGTACCGCTTTTTGTTCCACGTGTCTCAGCTGGTACTCCTCCTTCCGCTGGTAAAAGCAGATGCAGATCCCCGTGCGCCCAGCTCGACCCGTGCGCCCAGAGCGGTGGATGTAGGACTCCACATCCTTCGGAACACACAGCCCTGTGAGTTACCTAATTCACTCTCATTTAATCAACTCACTGCACCCACTCAACCTGTAGAAGCATCAAGCGAATGTGCTTTCCCATAATCCCCTAAAAAGCATGGTTTGAAAGCCAGAGCCATGAGCATGGATCAACCAGGGCTTGTTTATGCATCACCACACACTCGGCCTGTGTGTACCTCTACAACCATCCCACTCCCCCTCCTGTACATCAGGGTGGCTACTGTAGTATTAACAGCAAAGCCACTGAAACATTGTTTCTTTTAAACACTTAATTTAGGCCAGTGTTCTCACTGTTGGGGTCACTTCCTCACCCCTACTTAGTGAATCTTCCGGCTGCTTCCAGACTTGTAATCACCACACCCAGCTTTGAAGGGAGAGGCTTTGAACAGCCTCTGAAGAAGGAATTTTAAGGAGACCATCTTTAAATATGCTAGGGACTGACAGACTCCCAAAAATTCCTGTTAGAAACTGTTTCTACCAACCAGCACATTTCTCCCCCTTACATGCAACGCTGATAAACTGTGTAGGCAATACCATCACCTAACAGTGTGTACTACTTGATAATGGGATTACAAATCATGACAAGACACCCAGCATAACAGTCTCCTACCTTTGGTGGTGAGCTTTGTACAACCAGGTCAACTTCTGGGATATCTAAACCACGGGCAGCTACGTTGGTTGCAACCAGAACTTTAAATGAACCGTTTCTAAAACCTTTCAGTGTGATCTCTCTTTGCTTCTGAGGAATGTCACCATGCAATGACTGGCAATCCTGAAAAACAGCATTATTTTAGAACTATTTATGGTCAGTTTTGGATGAAACACCTTGGTATTTGATAAGTACTGTATGGCACGATACAGAAGAACTGAATTAGCAGAGTTTACATTTCAGGAGTCTGACAATATTTACTCAGTAATTCTTATTCACATACCTCAAAGGCCTTTAACAACAGCAGAAAAACGGAATTGCAATGTGTGCCTTATCTCCACATCTAATTACTGTGACACAGGTAACTATGCCCTAACTTGCCATCCACACCACCTATGCAAGGCTTGGCTGTTTCAAAATAGTAACTTACAATTTTTGTTTAACTGAGAAAGACGAAAATCCTATCTGACCACCTGCAAAAGCCTGCCTCATCCACTCTGAAACTCTCTTTAAAACATACTCAGCATAGGTCTGCTCTCAACATAGGGCTGATACAACTCTGACAGGTTCTGTTAGTGAACACAGATGATGAAGTACCTGTTTGATGGAAGCATTCAGAGCCAGTTCATTTGCTTCCTTTTTGGTCTCACAGAACACAATGGTCCTCCCGTGGCTGCCACTGTAGACCTGGATGACATCCCCAATAACTGCAGCTCTCTGAGACCAGTGACACTCTATTGCCAAATGCTGTGGAGAGGAATTGCAGTGCTTAGCTTACATAAAAATATAAGATTCTTTTAAAATACATTTGAAACTGTAAAATACAGAAATGGTAAAGAATTACACAGTTTCCTGATGGGGAAATGTGCTAATTCATATTCCTGGAACATGCGAAATCCATAGGGCTCTTATGTCCACCACAACTAGTCTAATGGTCAGTAAAATAACTACAGTAAGGGGAAATCAGGCTTCTAGCACATATGGGTAGTATTCCTTGCTATGGAATTTACTGCACAGCCAGTAAGGGCCTACTGAGCTGAGGCACTACAGGAAGTTCGAAAAAAAAAATCTCCTGTATAGAGAATAGCTCAAATCAACTGTGATGTCCACAGTGATTTAGAAGAGCCAGGCTGATGTGTTTGCCTTTTGTCTCCCACTGAGATAAATCCAGATACCAAATCCTCACTGCACCTGAGATGTGAATATGGTCACCCAATGCTGGGAGAAGAGAGGCAGGTCCTAAAGCCAGAAACAGCCTGATTAGGCTGTAATGTTGTCAGTAATGTGCTTTGTGCTTAAAAACACATTCTCAAAACAACTTCTAACATCATTCTGATATTGCACCTTAGGATGGGATGACCTTTTGTGGCATAAAAAATCAGGGGAAAAGCCTGAAAACATTCCACATTAGACAAATTACTCACTTCTACTGTTGTAGCAGCCTTTTGAGTTCTTTTCCCAATAAGGTCAATCTGTTCATATCTAGACTTCATGTATTTCTTGGCCACATCATACACCCAGTGCGGGCAAGTGGCAGAAAACAGCAGCGTCTGGGGATTGTCTTCAGAGTCTTAAAAAGAAACCAGAACAATGTTTCACAAACTTCATCTCACAGATGGACACAAGTTGATTACAGGGGTGATTAAAAACTCAAGTTTAAATGTCAGTGCATAAAATAAAGGAGGCAGTTCAGCTTTTTAAATTCACGCATTACTGACACCTGGAGAAAAAATACTCTAGGAAGTCTAAATATTTTAAAGATTAGGAAAAAGTTACTATGACCAAAAAATCCAGACTGTTTTCAAGCAGTGTAAAAGGTGAAAAGCTAATTCCTTTTAATTCAGAGAAGTCCAAGCACAACTTAAAAAACAGGCGTCAAAGACAGTTATTTACAGGCCCCCAGGTACTGGACTGTAAGCTTTGCAAAGGTCCTGTGAACAATTCCCACTTTCACGTTACTTCCTTGTGAACTGCATTAACAACACATTATATTCAGTCACTTTTAAACAAAGCCACCTTGCCACTTTCACAAAAATATACCTGAATTTCAGCAAACTATTACTAATATTTCCTGCTAACTGTTTAAATATTGAGATTACCCTTCTTGTATGCAACTCGTAAAATGTCTTCCACTTGCTCAGCAAACCCCATGTCCAGCATCTGGTCAACTTCATCAAGCACAACGTGTTTCACCTTGGTGAGGTCCAGTTTGCCATTCTGAAGATGGTCTTTGATACGACCAGGTGTCCCAACCAAAATGTCAATGCCGCTTCTCATGAGATCAACTGGCAAACAGGAAAGAGGAGAGGAGCCAGCAGTGAACCTCTGGACATTAGGAACACGTGGTAGCTAACAATGAAACACCTTCTTAAACCATTCCTAGGTGCTCTTCTTATAAACATGAGAACAAAGGAACAAGAAGAGAAAATCTGGCAAGAAAAGCCAAGGTAGAAAATCTACTACTCTTCCTGAATGAAAAAAAATCACTTACCTTCCCTCTAAAGAGTAGCAAACAATGACCTTCTTTTTATATTCTTTAGAAATAGTTTACTCTTCCCACATTGCCTACCTTAATTGGAAACTTTTTAGAAATTTACTTATTTAACTATCCAAATTACTGAACTCAGCTCCTTCCTGAGGTTCTGCAGTGGAAACAATTCATCCCTAACATCTCAAGATACAACATGAGGAAAGAGCTTATTCTCGTTCCTTGTTTACAACCACCAAGATGGTAAATTACCCTGTCACAACAACTCCTTCTCTACTTTACAAATCCTCTAGATATCCCTTATCACGTGACAAACCACAGACCCACTCACAGCTCCACAACCAAACATTTTTTTAAAGAAAATGTGTTTACAAGACTCTACATCCAGATTATACACACAGTATAATCTCTTCCACTTTAATTTAGGGTACATGAGCAGATAAGCAACACCAAGAATATAACTGATAGCCAGAGCTATTTATCTCCATAAGATAGATTTTAAACTACTGAGTTCCCCATTAATAGTCTCCAACTCTTGAGCTAAAAGTGTTAGGAAAGACCCAAATGCATTTCTTAAATATGTCAGTCGAACAACATTTCAGTTATTTGTCCAAAGTGTCACTTACTTTGTCCATTATATGGAGTTCCTCCGTAAAAACAAGCTACTGTCAGCTTCCTTGTGATGTCCTTGAAATCTTTGGCAACTTGATTTGCCAGCTCTCTTGTTGGACAAAGAACTAGAACCTACACAGAAGAAAGACAAGCAGATGTTCTCTCAGCATGGCTTCTGCCAAGAAACCACTAGACTTCTAATCATCCATTTAGACATGAACATTTACAAAATTAAAATGAAAAAATCTGGTTTAAATAATCATCTAAGGAAAGGTTGGAGAAACACGATGCTTGAGGCTCATTTAACATCATTACACTCTTTCAAAACATACTCATTTGGGCTGGGCTAACTTCTTTTTAAATGGGATAAGAGATACTTAAACCTTATTTAACTTTAGCTCCTGAACAGATCAGCTACAAGTCTCCCCCTACAAGCCCATCTGCTGTTTGAGTACAAGACTGAGGGATCTGGGTAATACAAGGCTTTTCCACCTGCTCAGTAATGCCCCACAGTCCTGTGAGAAAGAGCAAGGAAGAGCCATCAGCTGCCCCTTGGCTTCTCTGAGACTCAGGGAATCATGTTCAGTCTGCAGAGCTGTGTTCAGTGCTAAAACACAGCCCTGCAGAAGCACCCAAGGAATCCTCCTCTCTCCAGTACACAGGATTCACTGCAGGCATGTAACTCATTCAGTGTAACAAGCTGCTCTCAAAGCTGGCATCAGTGGCTTCACAAAAGGAACCTTAAAATCCTTTTCCTGGTATTTCTTAAAACATTCAAACCCATTACCAAAAAAAGCAAGTAGCAGTGCACTATGGTAGAGTGAGGCCTGAAATCTTTTTAAAGGCTCCCTCAAAGCAAGCTTTCCTTTTTCCAAAGGACTGCCAATCTAGGGACAGCATTTTCAGTCAGCCAGCCATGATTGGCAGGTGCATCTCAAACTGCTAGTACTACTTTTGGAATGCACTTCAGGCAATCTATGAGAAGGGTGACAAGATAAAATAAACTGACAGAAATTATTAATGAGGACACCATAAGCCTTGGCCTGCCTAGTTTTGGAGGCATCCTAAGAGTTCAGAGAAAAAACACATGTGGTTTTCAAACCACACTGGCAGAATGCACATAGATCATAACGAATCTGCATTCTCTGGAGCAGAAGCTTCAACATTTGGTGGTGGTCCTTGTGAAAACTAAGTCTGTTTTTAAAACCACCCACTATTTACATGTTTTTTGAAAAAAGCCTGTTTAAGCAGACAGCTTTCATCAAGCTGTCAAGTTACCATTAGTAACTAATCTATTCCTAATTTGGGAGAGAAACAAGCACCCAGTAACCCATAGCCCTGAAGAGTGACTGAGCAAACCTACAGAGGAACACGTGGCACACCTGTGATTTCGGTCTCCCTGTGGCAGAACAAGGAACTGACAAGTGGGTAGAGCTGTCGTGCTCTGCACAGGGCACAGGCAAAGCCCAGCAAACACAGATTTCAAACAACCTTTCATGTGGGTTGGCTTTTCCCTGCACAAACCTGAAGAACTTCCCCAGTGGGTTAAAATCTGAATCACTGGGACGCAGGACAAAGCAAAATGAGCATTCTACTTAGGCACAGTTACCTTGGGTGGACGGCCTCGTCTTCTTTCCTGGGACTCTCCCTGAAGCTTTTCAATTAAGGGAATGGCAAAAGAGAATGTTTTTCCTGTTCCAGTTCGTGCCTGAGCAATGACATCTTTGCCAGAAAACACTGGGTTGAAGGTCTTCACTTGCACGGGAAACAGGTACGTCACTCCTCGAGCTGTGACAATCCCAAGAGATTTCCTTAATTATGATCATTTTACAGGTGCTCTTTCATACTCTTCAGTAGAAGTTATTCTAATCAGAATTTCCATCAACTCCACACTAAACCAGGATTACATCATCACCTCCACTGATTTATTTATTGCAGGAGTCCTCTGCAAAGAGTGCCCTGGGTCTGTCCATTTTATTCTCCTACTTCATTTCACCACGCACAGTACCAGCTGGGACAGATGAAATTATCAGCCTTTATGGGAGACTTTGAGTACTGTGCCTTTATTTTTGTAATACTCCCCAGCTATCTATGAAAGTTTCTTCATTTCAAATAATACATACCTCAAAACCCCTTTCTATTCCCAATTCATACTAAGCCATGTACAACCTAACGTCAAAAATACTAAATATAACTGGTTTTCCTTTATTCACACCAAAATGACCTCTAATTGAAAAATTCTCACACATCACTAAGATTTTTTTTTCCTTAGCTTATGGCATTTAGAATTCTACTGTAAAGGCTCAGCTGGGCAACATTGCAAACAGGAAAGCCTGTGTTCCACCTCAGAGCTCACTGATCCAGTACACTGGGCACAAAAACACATGACAGAGATCACTGAGGGTTTTTTTTTTTTACCTTGAAGAAGCTGGACAGTTTCTTTGGAAATAGAAAAATTGGAGAAAGCCCCCTCCTTCTGTTCGCCACTCAGCTCCTGTTGGGTAAAGAATAATCCGGGTAAGATTCCACATGAATATCATGTGACTGTCAGTAAATCCAAGGCAGCAGCACAGCCACTGGTGTAACACACTTCAGTGACAGCAGCACAGCTAAAGGGCCTTCTTCGGTTTATCATCGTGTCTTGAAGCAAGTTAGCAAGTGATCTGTAAGTGAGGATTGTTTCATATCTAACAGCACAGCAAATGCAAAACACCCAAACCAAAACTCTGAAATAGAATGGCAGAATATCCGTAGTTGGAAGGCACCCACGAGGATCACCTGTTGCAACTCCTGGCTGTGCACAGGACACCCCAACACTCATACCTAACGATGCTGAATCATATCAAAGCTCCATCTCACTGCAACCTGTTTGTCTGCCAAAGCTGACAGACTGCTGAAGTGAGGAAACACTGGTGCACTGATCTGGAACTTCAGGACATTCTTAACTCAAATTTTTTGCAAATAATCAACAGAATGGACAATTCAAGAAGCTTCAAACCCTGAAAATTTACAGCACTTTCCACTGATTCGGGGCGGGGGGGGGAGGACAACCCATTTTAAACTTGGCCTGGTTGCAAGACAGAAGTTGAAAGCTGCACACACCACTGAACTAAACCCAATCGCTGGCTTTACCTGCTCCTGCTCACTCTCGCTCTCGCTGTCACTTGATGTCTCACTAGAACTGCTCTGCCGGCTCTTGCGGGAGGATTTGCTGTTGTTTAAGGAAGACAATTTCGGTTTCTCCAGGCTTTCTTCTCTCGCGTGACCGTTCTGTTTACTGACACCCTTCGACTTCTTGACTTTCGGGGTATAAACCTCCTCATCCGACTCCTCGCTTTCATCTGTCGGAGCCTTCCCCCTCTGAAACTTGTCCCGGCGTTTAGATTTCTTCTCTTTCTTCTCCTTCTGGCAAGGCACAGAGCAAATGGAAACACATGCTCGCGGATCCAGGGACAGGGAACAGGGAGGAGGGCGCGGAACAGTTAAACCTCGGAGCGCACATTCTGGTTACTGGCGGGGGGAGCAGGTACAGGGGAGCAGCCCCCGCCCGCCGCCGAGCAGGGGCGCGTTCCCCCCTCGAGGCCTCCGCTCTCGGGGCTCCCGCCGGGCCCAGCACGTGCGGCGGGGCCGCGGCCTGGCCCGCCCGCGCACGTGGCCGCCCGGCCCCGGCCCGGCCCCGGCCCCGCCGCGCCCCCCGCGCCAGACCCACGGCCCACGGCACGAGCGGCACGGGTGGCGCGGGCAGCCCGGTCCGAGGCCAGGCCCGCCGGGCACCGGCCCCAGCGCGCGGGTGCGGCCGGGCCGCTCCCGGAGCCCTTCCCGGTACCTTGTGGCGCCGGCGGCCGCTCTCCAGGGCCGCCTCGGTGTCCATGGGGCAGTCGGAGTCCGACTCGGCCCTGCTGCCGCTGCCGCACCGCGTGGCCTCGGGCATCGTCGCGCTCCGCCACGCCGCGCTCCGCACCCGCCGCGCGCCCGCCGCGCCGCACGCTCCGAGCGGCCGCCGCGCCCACGGCCAATCGCCGACCGATCCGGCCGCGCGGAGGCGGGGCCTCGCCACCCGACAGCCAATCGCCCGCCGCCTCCGCCGCGGGACTACAACTCCCGGCGTGCCCCGGGGGCCAACGGGTGGACTCCAACCCCCGGCGGCCCCCGCGCGCCATGAGGGCGCGGCCGCCATGACGGGCCGCCATGAGGGCTCAGCCCGGCTCCTCCCATGGCCCCAGCGCCGTCACCGCCTGACGAGACCCCGCCCGCAGCCGCAACTCCTCCAGCTGTACAAACCCGTGACTTACAGCTTCCGTAACTACCGCAGGCACGTGTTCGGGAGCGGAAAGCCTAACGTAGGGAACGGCAGAATGACCAAATGCCTCTAAGACTTAAAAGGACCACACGCCTGCGGTGATCAGCAGCATGAGCTCACCAAGGTCTGGTGGCATCTCCAGGAAAAAATCGGGTTTAAGATATCAAAATTAGTCTTACGAAGCTGTGGAGGGATCCTGCCGGCCGCCAGGGTGTCGATTCCTTAAGGAAAGAGGGTTTCGGGAGCAGAGCGGGGCTTCTCCCAAAGCAATGCCACTGAGCTGCCCTGTTGTGTCCTGCACCGGCACGTTTTCATTTCCAAAGACCAAATCCTGCTCGCCAGATACAAACACATCAAGTAGACAGAGGAGCACAGCTGAGAACTCTGCAGGATGCAGTGAGAGAACCCTGGGATTGCAGGAATTTTTGTAGTAACCAGGTGCGTGTCTAGATTGATTGCTTTGCTTCCCGGCAGGGAAGATGCAGTGTGCTCTCATTCCTGCACCACAGGTAGGAAACCCTTTCCTGAATTATAGTGTAAAACAGCCCTGTCCAGCTCCAGTTCCTATTAGAGCAACACAAACCCTTTCCAGGTCAGTGGTGTGGTTTGAATGAAGGATGCCAGTTCTCATTTTTATTATCACAGGGACTCAGAATAATAAAGATGAGTGCAAGCGAAATACACATGATCTCTCCAAATACTACGGTCAGAAGTCTGAATTAACAGCTTTGATTTAGAGACTGATGTGACTGACTGCATTTACAGGATGGTTACCTTGTTACAAAGGGAAACTTTACAAAGCTCATTAAAAGAGAATCAAGTATTCATGACCGGGGTTAGATGTAGCCAGGAATTTTGTTGCAATTGTCCTTCCGCTTGTCCTCCTCTTCACCTTATTATTTATGCTTTTAGGATTTGGCAGGAAGCTTCATCTTCTTTTCGGTCCATCTAAAATAATATAAATTATTAGAGGTCAGACTTCACATTCCAGGAACTGAGTTGGCCTTCTGGTGCCACCAATGGCACCAGTACAAACAGTCAAAATGACCCTCTGAAATATAGTTTGCTAAAGATTTCAAGTTTTACTCGTGCATTACTCATGTCCAACTAACACACAGGGAGTGTGTTTGAAAGAGTGTGCAGCCAAAAGCTGCTTGAGGGAAAATTTTAAAAATCAGCAGAATTTCCTTAGAAACTGTAGTATGTGAGTTGTTCCTTCAAATACTGGCTTCTTGAGGCGAGTGTGCACATCTAATGAAGACTCAAATGGTTTAAATAAATACCAGTCATTAAAACTATTAAGAGTAGATGTTGCTATTAAAAGATGGATATTATTTCTGCCCTCATCATATTCTAGCCAATTTAGTTAACAGTTTTGTAGGCCTTCTCCACATACAACTCTGTAAAAAATTGTTTCATACCAATTTGCTTTCCACTAAGGGATTTTTCAAGCACAGTTACAGGCAAAATGTACACTGAAAGGAAGCCAAAACTTGTAGGTCAGGCAGTGTACATGTTCTTCTGTCAATTGTGAGGAAGTCAGATGGTGTTTTCTATTTTAACTTTGGATTAGACACCTTTATAGAGCACCTTTTATTCTTCTCTACAGCTGCAGAAACTGTAACGGTATCTGTAATGTCACATGGCAACACCTATGTGAGCTGAACCTGCCTTCTGGCAGGAGTTTACCAAACACTGTGTTTAACACCAAGTTTATCAAACACTATTTCTTAACATCTCTGTTCTCGGCCATCTCCACCTGCAAGGCAGAGCTCATGCTGTTTGCTTGCCTCGTGCAGAGCATAAACAGCAGCATTTGTCTAACTGATTAAGGGAGAATGTTCATGTAAAAAACTTTGCAGTTTGACTATCTCTGGGTCATAACACTGAAGTTTTGAAAGATTAGAATTTTGTTTTTGGGCGGGGGGGGTGTGTGTGTATGATTTACAGCAACATTTCTGCCTGAATCTGATGGTCAATTTGAAGGTAAAACAAACTTAGTTACATGTGTTTTCTTACCTTGGGGAGTCAATTCCACTGTCTCCTGACTGAAAGCTGGGGCTTTCTGTCCCTTCTGAGTGTTTCTGTCCTGAGATCACAGAACATGTGTTCTTAAAAAACAGCTCTTTTTTTCCCAGGGAGTGTCCCATTTCTTTGCTCTGGGAGCCCAAAGCACAGCGTGCCACTCCTCCTCCTCCCTCAGGAGGGAAGTTGTGCCCGGTGTCATTGTTTGAGTGAGCCCGGGCAGCAAGGCAGGAACCTGCCACAGGGAGGCCCGTTCCTTCAGCCTCTCTGTGACCTCTCGGAAGAACCTGACTGCACACCCAGCTTTCTTTTGCTGAGTCTGGTTTGGGGTGCTCTTTTAAGCCACCTGTTGACTCTGCAAAGCTACTACTTCCCTTACATCCCTGCTCTCCGGAGTCACACGTAGTTACAGCTGTGTTGCACTGGGCGGGACAGTTACTGACCTTACAGGATTTTAGGGACACAGTTGCACTCCAGTCTCCTGTGTCTGCAAAGGCATGGCCAGGAGGCAGGGGATGACACGGCTCACAGCCCTCAGAACTGTCACCCAACTGCTTACAGGTGTCCCCATCATGTTCTTTTTGGTTCTGAAGGCGGCAGTTGTCAGTAAATCCCTCTCTTTCCAGCTCCATTGCCCCGTGATGGCTGGCACAGTCATAGTTAAATATAAGCTTGCTTTTTTTGTCAGTCTTTTGTCTGTATTTCTCACCATTTCTTTGGACCAGGTTAACATTGGCTGTATAATTTGAAAGATGGACATTTTGAAATTCATTTGCTGTTCGATCTAATAACTCACCTACAGCGGCAGCTTTGCCTCTGCAACGCTCATCTTTCAGACAGAATGAAAGGTTTGCATCTCCTTTGCACACACCACTATGTTCAGTGTAGAAGCAAGGGGACTTTTTAATGTCCCCAGGACTTCTTTTTAATGTTCTTCCATAGGTGTTTTCTTCAGAAATATTACTCTCCAGAAAGTATTTACTTTTACTGTCTATTTGCAGATTACTGCCTCGCAGACAGCTACAGTTTTCACTTAAGCTGTCTTTCTGGAGCTGGAGGCAGGACCTGTGAGCATGGGGTGGGTTTTGCTTGGCTCTGTCAGCCAGCTGCTGGGTTTTGTAGCCAGAGGGTCTCCAGGAGGCCGAGGGCTGTGGCCTGTGTGAAGCCCTTCCTTGCCCCCTTGCCCGGCTCTTCAGGTGACTGTTGATGACACCTCGGTACCCCCGCGCGTAGAAGCTGCGTCTCCACGGCAGAGCCTGGAAAGGATTCGTAATCTGCTTCTTATAGAACACAGGGGACTGCACTGCTACAACAGGGGGCTCTTGGTTTCTGGCAGACAGTGAAAGGCTTGCTTCCACTTGCACATGTTGGGATGTCAGCTCCTGGATGGGAGATTTGCTGCTGCTTCTGCCGATCTGCTCCTCTTTCTTTGATTTGGTTTTCCTGGTGTGTTTTGCCGTTTTACTCCATGCCTTTTGAATACAATCCTTTGAAAGATGGTTTTGCCTGGCTACTGACCCTTCAGCTGAGGTACCATTACTGATGTATTTTTTCTCTTTACTGATGTATTTTTCCTGCTCCTCGAGTTTCTGCATTAATATGGTGTGTTTAATCAAGTTATCAACAGTAAGAGTAGGGTTAATACGCTTGATGATTTCATGTTCAATATCACGTGGAATATTGTCCAAGTCATCTTCATCCCTGACCGGCCACTCCCTGGGAGGAAACTGGGCTGAGAAAGTGGAGTACTCCTTCTTGTGTTTTTCTTTTTTAGAAAAACTTCTCCAGAAAAGGCCAAGGCCAAATCTTTTGCTTTTCAGCTTTGCCTTCACGGATGTCAGGGATTTGATGGTGTCCCAGGCATGATTTTCAGCAGATGTGCAGATCCCTTGAGTTTCAATGGAGGGCTTCAATTCCCTGCAGTCTTTCTTTCCCTTTCCCTTAGGTTCATGGTTCACTAGCTGCCAATGCCTTTGTTCACAGAGCATATTTTGGACAGGGAAACAATGGCAGGATCTGCAACAGGATACTGTAGGAATGTTTTCTTTCACTAGGTTTGCACAGTGCTTAATGTTTACCAGGCAGGTGATGGAAGGTGCTGAACAGCAACAACTGTCCCCCAGCAGGACCCTTCTGTTGTGTTCTGTGGCCTTATTAGTGATCAAGTACGTGTTGGGAGTCACAATGAAGTATC